GGTCGTGACCACTACATTTTTTTTCATTAGGACAATTTTTCTTTTCAATTGTATGTAGTTACTTTTAACAAAACAAATCCTTTGATGCTATATACTTATCAGGCTAAAATAGGCAGAAAATGTAGTTTCTTAAAAGTACAAACCAGAAGTAGATTGATAAATCAAGAAGCTAGAAATTAAATAATCAAGTCTTATTAAACCTTCTGGAGTTGATTAATATAGGCACAGATTCTTTGCAATAACTTACATCAGGAAGTGAAGTCTCTTTCTCTACTCTTCAACTCTTGTAATGGCCTTGCAACTTTCTTTGATCAACAGAGTGTGGGAGAAGTAACACTGCATATATTTCAAGAGTAGAGCTGCCTTGTGAACAAGTCCAAGTTAGTCTTTCAGAGCATGAGTAAAAACCTCTCGTGAAGGGAGGTCCCAGACTTTCTGGACATCTCAGCACACCCGAAGGAAGGCCAAATATGAGAACAAACCCAAATGATACCATGTGGAACAGAGACAAACTTCCAAAGGATTCCAGTTGAAACTGCCAACTCACAAAATCATGGGCAAATCATTTGTTATTAATGAGCTGGATTTTTACATTGAAATAACTAACTGATTAATCCTAATTCTCAAATAAGATCCTTTCACTGAATGAGAGTTTTAATGGTTCTGGAAGAAATCTTACCAGAATCAATACACCTTTCTTTCAAGTAAGTCATAAAGGTTTTCTTAATCCAACAGTACTTCACTGCCATGTTATCCAATATGATAGAGACAATAAGTTAAGTACAGATTCAAGAGACTTTACACTGCAACTTGATTCCAGGACATGGATGTATTATTAACTTTTCTTTTTGGCAGCACTGTAGTTTAAACTCAGAGTCTCATGCTTGCTAGGCAAGCACTCTTACCACTTGAGCCACTCCACAAGCCCTAGGTAGTTTAATAAAAAATTAATGATATGTGTAAAAACTTTTCCATATGTAGGTACAAATCATACAAATATCATGCCAATTGACCTCCATGAGCGATGTCATCATCATCAATAGCCTAGAGGTGAAAATCAAATTCTGGTTTTGACCAAAGTGAAAAAAAATTGAGAACACATAAAAGGCAAAACCAAATCAAACCAAACAAGCAATCCCTGCCCCCAAACCGTCACTATGACATTGCCAAAAATGATACTACCATGTCAGGGGTCTGTGTCCTTTCTCCTGGATTGCTGGCTAGTTCACTGTCACAGCTGACTCTAGTCAGGTCAGGTTTTGATCAATAGTAAACTGAATCGGGAATGGTATCTTTGTAATTAGGACTCTGTTGTTTACTTCTTCTCTAGATTTCATTTCACAGAAGAAACAATACAGGGAAGAAGGCCCAATCTTCTTCCTTTCTTCCCTTCTAGCTGGGGTCCTCTTCACACAAGAGAAATCTAGTTTTCCAACTTTCATCTATGTTGAATTTGCTGATTCATTGTGAAAAGGAAAAATTATGATGTTTTATTAATAATTGCACAAGCATAGAAGAAACCAACTTCCCATTTATGGGTAAATGGGTAACTAAACTGGTATATCCAGATAATGGGATAGTAATGCAATGAAAATAGGAATGATCTTTAAAGTCACAAAGTAACAGAGGAACCCTAAACGTATACCACCCGGTGTAGAAGTCAATCTGGAAAGGCTATGTGACTCAGGTATTGACATAGCGAAAAGAAACAACTGTGATGGACATAAATAGATTAGTGCTTGCCAAGAGCTTAGGTGCAGAGAAGGGAGGATGACCAAGTGGAGCACAAGGAGTTGTTAGGGCAGTGAAACTACTCTTTTTGATACTATAATGGTAGAAAGATGTCATTAGACATTTGCCAAAACCCGTATAATATGCAACACAAAGATGAGCTCTAATGTAAACTATGGACCTTTAGTTAATAGTACTGTATCAATATTTTCTGTAAACCTCAAACTGTCTCTCAAAATAAAGTCTACTGATTTTTTTTAAATGTAAGAAAAAAAACCAAGGTTAGTCAGGCATGTTGGTACATGCTTGTACTCCCAGTACTGGGAGGCTGAGTAAGGGGGAGTGCTAGGGCACAGGAGTTCAAGACTGCAAAGGGAAAATAGTGAGGCTCTCTCATAAAACAAAACAAAACAACAACAACAAACCAGAACAACAGCAACAAAAACCACCAACCAACCATCCAAACCACCAGTACGTGACATATGATGAGAGATGAGCTTCCATGAGGCCAGTAGACACATCTAAACAAGAAGGCAATCAGAGTCCCACGAAATTGTTAAAATTTCTTTTAAACTCTGAAAAAACCTGAACATAATAGCAATGCTAATGAATAAATAATAATGAATCCAGTTTTTGTTAGTCATTAAATACAATAAAGTTTTTAATGCAGAAGATGCCTGTGTTAAATTATATTTGCATTGCTGTAACAAGATACCTCATATAATCAACTTAAAAAGAGGAAAGACTTATTTTGTCCTACAGTCTTGGAGGTTTCAGTCCGTGTTCATTGGTCCCATTGTGTTTGGGCTTATGGATGAAGAGGTATATCATGGCAGGAACACAAAAGAGAAGAAGCTGCTCACCTCATGACAGCCAGGAAGTAAAGAGAAGAGAAAGAGAAGCACCCATACACCTCCCACTAGGCCCCACCTCTTAAAGGTTTCCACCATCTTCCAATAGTGCAAAGCCTTTCACAAATAGGCCTTTAGAGGTCATTTCTAATCCAAACTATAGCAAAGGACATAAAGTTTCTAGGGTCTACAAATGTCATAGGGTGGACCTGGCTGTGTCAGTGAAACCTAACACACAGAAAACTTGAATAGAGGCCTGCTCCATGGCTAGGCTACAGTCGGGAAAAAAACTCCCTGTTTTTTTAAGAAAGGAGGAGTTGTAAAGCACATTGATTCAGAGGAAGTTTGCATGTGCAAGAATGAACTTGGGTGTTTGTTAAAAAGGCAGATTCCCAAGGACCACCTCCTTTCCCACTTCAGGCTTAGCAGATGTAGGAATCTGCATTTTTATCAACTATCTCAGGTGACCTGGGTGCCAATACCGTGAAAAACATGTTGATGACTCTCGGGTTATACTTTCTGGTCTGGAGTAGAGCTTCTTAAGCTTGGAGGCACTTTTGGTTTCCCTGGGGAGTTTGCTGCAATGCCAGTAATTCCACTACCATGTAAATATTCACCAGAAATGTGAGCTTACATTGATCAAAAGACACAAAAGTGAATGTTCTTAGCATGGCTACTTTGTAATGGAGATAAACTCAAAACATTTCTAATGTTTATCAAAAGTTTACTAAAAACATTTTGTATCTTTTCATGGGATTCAGGTGGGTTTTTTCCATGAAATTCTACACAATGACATGAGTAAATCAACTACATATACACTCAATGGCATGGATGAATCTTCCAAGCATGCATTTTAGTAAAAGGAGCCAGACACAATAGAATGCACAGTGTATTCTCCCATTGACACTTTATTTTTGGTGCTATGGATGGAACCCAGGTTTTCCCACAGGATTGGCAAGTATACCTATCCCAGAACTTCATCTCCAACCTCCACCTAAACATTTAAATGAAGTCTGAGACCAGGAACGAGTCCTCTATAACAGTAGAAGAATGTGCTATTCTATACCCTGGATCTTAGCCAAAAGGTGGAGAAGCAATGAGAACATGTTATTCTTCAAGTGGCAGTGGGAAAATTTCCCTTTTGGGAAAGAAATACATTTAAATCTACAATTGACATGATCAACTAAAATAAATCTCCTTTGACCATCTAATCCCACAAGAATATTGAGCCCAAAGAATTTATCCAAAATATGCCTAATGATTTACTTCCTATGGTATGTCTTGAAATTTTATTTGTAATAGAAACCAACTGGGAATCAATTAAATATTGAAGAATAGAGAAAATGGCAGAACAAATGAAACTTATAGCCATTAAAATATATTGTGTGAAAACAAATTCTAAATGAATTTTTATAAATGTATATAAAAGTTTGCTTTGTGGTATTAAGCTTAGCACTCCATAGGCAATGTATTACAAATCAATACATGTTCAGAGGAAAAAAAAACTGGATGAAGATAACACTCAGCAAGAGTATCCTGAATAGTGGAATTTAAAATATTCTGTATTTTTCACCATGAGTATGTAGCATTTCATAAGCACAAAGTTTTTTTTTTTTTTGAGTTGGCACAAAACTTTTGAAGTTAAGTATGAATACAATTGGTCAGACCCCCATATCCTAAATGTATAAATAAATGAAAAATATTAGCATGAAAATCTGTCCAAGGAGTTAACAGGTAGTTCCCATTCTTTGGGGGGATTTCTTCTTCTCTGTCTCCTTCTCCTTCTTCTTCTTCCTTTTCAGTCTTAGAGCAATTAAATAAATACAAATTAAACTACATGTACTGCCAGAAACATAATCTTGCACAAAGGCCCCCACAATCTTGTACAAAAATACTACTGCAGGGACATCTGCCCTACAAAATTCTGTTTAATCTCAGATTGACATCCCCCTTGTTATTGAACCTTCTGGCCAATGATTATTGTTTCAAAATCATTTATGTAAACCTCAATTTGCTTTGAAAACTACCCTTTGCCTCAGATTCTGGGACTATTCCACATGGATATATAACTTGAGTATTCTCACTGTATTGTCCATTCACAAATAAATTTACTTATTTTTGGAGACTCTCACTGTATGTTATTCATACTGACAAAACTCTAAGTGTCACTCACACAACAATCCGTAACTTTTGTACCAGGGAGACTTTGCACTAAGTTTTTAAGTTGATATTCATTCACAGTAACCAGTATTATGATAGAGTGGAAAGGACTTCCTGTTCTAGTGCCTGCCCTGGACTCTGGCTCCTCCCCGCTTTAGCTAGTGTCACCTCCTGAACCAGGATAAAAAACGTTTGCCAGCCTCCACAACAAAGACACAGACATCTACCTGCTTGCTCAGAATCACTTCTGCACCAACCATGGCCACCTTTGTGGAGCTCAGCACCAAAGCTAAGATGCCCCTTGTGGGCCTGGGCACCTGGAAGGTAAATATGCAATTCACTGGAGGGTCATTTGGGCATTTTCTCTTCTCAGCATTCAGTGCTGCAGATATTTGGAGAGTTGAGATGCAGCCCTACAGTCTGGACCTAAGATGCTTTCTTTCTCAGGGCTGCTTCAGGCTGCAAAGCTCTAAGACTGGCATTTCCCAGCAGCTTCCCTAGCAAGTATCAAGTTTCAAACAGGCACTGGACTTAACAAAATCATTCTCAGAAAAATTACTCCCCTCTTGGAATTGCCCTCCCTGATTCTGGCACCCTTATAAATGCTCAGTGCTTTATAAGGCTTGGCACTTGATTTTCTGTAGGCTGGGTAATTGGGAAAGAAGGAGGTAGTATTCCAAAAGCCCTGGCACACCTTGCTGCTTGCTGTGGGACTCTGACCAGCAGCATCAGTGTGCCTGTCAGCTGGCTGGAAATGCAGAATCTCAGAGCCCAGGCTAGGCTGCTGAATTCATGGCTGCATGTGACCATGATTCCCATGTGTTCCTGTGCACTTTAAAGTCTGAGCAGCACTGGGACCACGTAGAGCTTGGGCTGAGGACCGGAGCTCCGGTCCTGCTCTGGTTGTGTTAACATTAGCTGACAAAATGCCTTAAGGCACCCCAGGGATCTCTGAAGCAGATTGATGAGTCTTTCTTGGATAAGTTCAACTATTTCACTCTGCTTTCTTCAGCATTTCCCTCAATGACAGCATTACTCTCGGGTTTTTTCCAGGGGCCAAATTGGATTCCTTCTTCTCTCCTTTCCCAAATGGCTCATCACTGCTGGGTTTTCCTCCTCTGACTCTCCTTTCTTCATTGTACCATCTTTCCTGGATTCCTTTTTGTTTCAGCACTGAGTCATTCTCAGGACACATTCTTTCTCAATCTGGTTGGACACATCAGTGTCTGCTTGAGTCAGTCTTATCCTCTCTTGCTTGAGAAGCAAGATTTGTCCTAAGTCAGAACTTTATATAATCTACTCACCCTGACTAAATTTACCCAAAATTAATTTTCAGAATTTCAAAAGTAGATGCAAAGTTTATAAAAGAAACTGTCTTCAAGACATGGGGATGATAATGTTTTGAAGGTTGTTTGGGTATTGGTGGAGGTGAAGGAGGATGGAGTGGTTGGGAGGGGAACCCTGGGGAGCTTTTGAGTTGCCAGCAGCAATTCCTTGCCCAGTGATACTGTAGAAGTATACCTCTGTTTTATGTGCTTTTCAATGTTTGTTTCTTGGCAGTAGCAGAAGATTAGAAAAAGCTTTGGTGAGATATGAGTTTAATGGCACCTCCTTCCTCATTTTTTGGGCTTGGCTAGGTTAGATCAGTATGAGGTGTTTCATTTTTATTACCATATTTTAATAGTACACTGGGTTTCATTTTGATAATTCCATCGATGCGTACAGTGTACTTTGAACAAGAAGAATGTGGTCTATCTGATGGTCTTTCTGTCTCTGGTTTTGTTTTGTTTTCCCTTATGGTAGAATAGCATGCCAATTTTTTAAAGATTTTATATTTCTTCTTTTTCTGAAATAATTATTATATGATGGATTGCATCTACTGAACCTTACTGGGTGTGCTAAAAAGTTTACATTTACTGTTGCAAATAATCAATATGACCTTGTGAGGCAGGTGCCTATTATTCAGTTAAGGATTAGAGAGGTAGGTTGAGCTCAGGCTCACACACCTGTTATGTGGTAGAGCTCAGATATGTCATGTAATGATCATTTTCCAAATCCTTGTCACTATTGGTATCTGAAAATTCTCCTGGGTCAGTTCAGAGCCTAGTTTTCAGATTAGCCTTTAGGAAGTTCCAGTGGGAGCCACTTGCCACTCCCCAGCCATCTACAGACACTTCAGGAATAACCTGGATTTGAAGGGATTGACTTTTAGCTAGGATAGAACATGGAGTGATAATTAAAAAATTAATACACATTTTTTTCTTTTCTTTTGAAAAGGCTGCCCCCTGGCAAACAGGACTTTACCAAGGCCTTGGCTTACAGAAGCTTGGCTGTGTCTATTCTGATGAAGGAGGTCTTGGAATAAGAGCATCTTATGGTCTTTTTTATTGCCTTTCAGTCTCCTCCAGGCAAAGTCAAAGAAGCCGTGAAGGTGGCCATTGAAGCAGGATATCGCCACATTGATTGTGCCTACATCTATGAGAATGAGAATGAGGTGGGAGAAGCCATCCAAGAGATGATCCAAAAGAAAGTTGTGAAGCGGGAGGACCTCTTCATTGTTAGCAAGGTATATGTGGCTCATTTGGTGGGAGGACTTGACTTCAAGGCAAATGAAAGTACCTGGATGTGGACAGCACCAGGAATTCTATGAGTCTTTCCTGTAAGCCCATATTTCCTTACTCTTCTTCATCTTTCCCGTTACTGCAAGCTCAGATGCAAACATGCAGTCCTCTAATCAGTATGTGGAAGCGTCTGCTTCTCCCTACCTCCCTGGAGTTGGAGTTCCCATAGTGGAGATTGCGCTCTTGAAACTTCTGGTGCTGTTCTGTGGCAGTCAGAAGTTAAGGGTGCAGTCAGAGGTGGATCCTGGAGCTTGCCTTTCAGCACTATGATCCCAGTGTCTACTTCCCTGAGGGTCTCAGCCAGGGGTACTTTGGGAAATGGTGGGAGCATTTTTATTGTTGCATATGACTTACTTTTTAAAGTCAGACAAGTAAGGGGTTAGATACAAAATGTCATAAAAATAGGGGAGGGGATGGGTAGAGGGTATGACTCACATGGTAGAGTGCCTGCCTAGCAAGTGTAATGTCCCGAGTTCGAACCCCAACATCACCAAAAAATAAAAAATAAAGAAGGGATGGAGTGTTTGGTATTTTGGGATTTAGAATCACTGGATCTTGATTATATACAACTTACTAAAAAGCACAGATTCATACATGCGGAAACAACATTTGGTGGGACAGATAGAGACACCATATGCCACGGCCATCATCATTTGGGTCTGATAGGCTTGGAAATACGGTAGAGAGTAAGAGGGCCACCTGTTCCCAATTGCATATGAATGCTCGAAATTTAAGTGATAGACACAACTTTGCCTTCAGAAAGCAGAAAGCCAAGGAAGGGAATAACATAGGTACATAAATATTTAATCAGTGGCCAAATATGATAGGTGATCTAAGAAAAAAATAGAACGCTAAGATCATTGAAAAAATAACTTCCCTTTAACACTTAGGAAATGTCATTGACTTGCTGACCCCTGCTGACCTGGCACACGGGATGGAATGTATTAACCAACTTTTTAATAAACAGCCTGTTCTCAGGTTAAATCAGACACTATCGCAAGGCAGAGAGAGTGAGTGTGGTATGGCCCTTTCCCTCCCCCGTTCTAATGACTCCACGTTGCACTCCGCAGTTGTGGGCTACCTTCTTTGAGAGAAAACTGGTGAAGGAAGCCTTTCAGAAGACTCTTAAGGATCTGAAGCTGGATTATCTGGACATCTACCTTGTTCATTGGCCACAGGGACTTCAGGTTTGAGCTCCTCTCTGCCCCAGTCTCTAGCTACTGAGCAGACAGATACCAGAAAATAGGTGCTAGGGCTGTGTGCAGGTGTGGCTGAAGTAGTTCTTGTGTGGAAGTAGAGGACACTTAGCCTGGAAGGGAGGCCAAGGCCTTGTGTGGCCATCCTGGTGGCCACATGCTCAGGCTTTCTTGAGAAAAACTGTACTACCTGGCAGCCCAGACAAGCTGAAACTAGAATTGCCTTCCTTTTGATTTCATGCCAAGGCGCTGAATCCAGGCTATATCTTGGATATTCTTGTACAACGTATTTCAGGTCCCAACCTTCCAGTTAATCAAAGCACACCCAGGGAGTGGCATTTTGGAGAAAAGCCCAAGTGTGGAGATACTGGAAGTTAGCTAATAATCACTGCAGGAACAACTCATTGTTCAGAATTCTGCTCGTGAGAGGTAGGAGTGACATGAAATTCTTTGTGGCTGAGTGGGTGATGGTGGCATGCCATCCTTAGTCCAGTCTTCTAGAGGTTGCAAGGACAGAACCAGATCATATCTCCCCCCACAAAACCACACTCTTGACATCTAACCTTCTCCAGTAACCTTGAAATTAAAGTTTGCCCCAAGTGTACATGGGATCTGGGCATGTGAGGTTAATGTCATGGCAATAATGATAATAACAGATTTTAAAATCAATTCTGTGGTTTCTGGAATATACGAATTGACATATAACTGTAGGTTGACACAGATTTTATTGAAACTTATTTATTGAAGTGCTTTCTCCAGGTGTTGAAAAAATAGTATGCTGGAGTGGGTATTTATCATAAGTTGAGGTCTCAAAACATTGCTAAACAGGACCGGATGTCTGGAAGATTCCAGTAAGTTTTCACTTCTGCATTTACAGCCTGGGAAGGGAATATTCCCCGAAGACGACAAAGGCAATGTCCTCCACAGTAAACTGACATTCTTGGATGCTTGGGAGGTAAGTTGCAGCCCATGTGCTAATGCCTTATTTAGTCATGGTTATTCTCCCGCTCTTCCAACTCCCTCCTCATGACCTTTAGATTTGGGGTCCATCTGACACTATTTACATTTTGAAGGCCCAGACTTGAGTCCTCAGAAGACTCTGGAAATATAATGTGTCCTAATTTGGGAGATACAAGTACTGTTCCAAAAACCAGGGGGGACCTTGACCTGTTTGCACTTATTAACTGAGTAACTACGGCTAACTTAGCAAGTCCTGCATGCTTGAGTTTCTTCATCTTAAAAAAGTCATATTCAGGATGGGGTAATATTTCAGGAATTTTAATCATAGTGCCTGTTTAGGCATCCAGCCCTATGAGAGAATGCTACTTTCCCTATTTACAAGTTAAAATTGAGACCTAGAAAAGTTGATAATTTGTCAGGTTTTAGAGCAAGTAAGTGGCACAGTAAGGATTGTGCCTAGGACTAAGGTCTAACTGACTCATAATTCCAGCTACCACGGCATTTAGTGCTTTGCAAATAGTGAACATGCATCAAAGAACACAATTGTCCTGCTTCTTAGATCAAATAATGACCTGTTTCTCATAGTTCATGTTCACTTTTGCATTGTGGCATGGAAGTTTTCTCTGATATATTTTTCTTAAACCACCATATCCTCTTAAAAATGCTGCTGGTGACCAAAGTGAATGAACAATTTATAAATAAATACTGACAGATAAACTAAAAAATTGAGGGTTTTTTTGGTCAGTGTCTTTTGGGGCATAGACAATCCAGAATTTGTATTGTTTTTCTACTTGAAAGTGTATTAAGCCTACCCTTTCCTAAGAACTGGGGGTTGTTCTGGCTACAATAAATAAAGATTTTTAGTTGACTGTTTTCAGAAGTGTTTCTCCATGAGCACAGCATCCTTGCTGCTTTCAACTGTAACAACTAGCAGTAAAAAAAAAAAAAAAATTTAGATAGGAAAATCTAAGTGCTAACTCAGGGAAAGCATAATGAAGTAAGAAAGCCATCAACTCGTAATGGTAAGGGTGGCAAACTTGAAATGTACTTGAAAGGAATTATCCTTGGTGAGTAAATTATTAAATTTGCCTACTTACAGCAGAAAGTTTGTTAAAAGGAAGAATGGGGAAAAAAAAAAAACTATCTGGATTTTTCCCCTAAGGATGGGTTTTAAAGACTGTTCTGAAACCCTCTGCATTGGAGATGAAAGGAAACAGACAAAAACCTAAAAACTACCAGCAATAATAAGGAGCCATCTGTAATATTACCTTCCTAGACTGATGGTGTTTGTTTTTCTTTGGAGAGTGAAAGCGATCAAAAGCACAGCTTTGTGCATGCTGTGACAGTGCTCTACCTCTGAGGCATCTCCTCAGCCCCTTTACGGAGGTAATGATGAGCGTGCATGGACTCAGCCTACTGAATACTGTGACAGGACTCACAAGATAGTCTCAGATTTCAGCACACATTTTTGCATTGGGTGCATTAACTTAATTGGATGGTGTATCACATATATTGTGTCAGTAAAACATGACCTCTTAAGGGCTGGTGGAGTGGCTCAAGAGGTAAGAGCACCTGCCTACCAAGTGTGGGACCCTGAGTTCAAACCCCAGCACCACCTAAAACAAAACAAAATAAATCTCTCTTCTTAAGTCCTAGTGATAACTCATTGTGAAATGTGGACACTAGCATATACATTGTCGGTTACACAAGATTTTTGCTCTTATGATTATATGATATTAAGTATCACAATTAAGTCACAGTCCTCTGCAAAAAAAGGATACCCCGATTTCCCTAGTGCTATGTTCTCCGGGTATATAGTGAAAGATTGCTACATAACACATGTTAAAGTCATGAAAAACTATCCAGGTCAAGGTCAGAGGCTCTGTTTTGACCCAGGAACAACTGAATATGTCAGCACAAAATGTCAGTGAGGACCCACAAACAATTAAATAGAAGCCTCATTGACCACCTGGAGAACAGAGTGGGGATGGCAGTATAGATTGCAAGAAGGCTCACACAGCCAGGACACAGACGAATACTTATATTAAGTCATTCCCCATTTGGAAGTTCCAAGGGAACGTCTAGCCTCAATTCTAAACTCTTGTTAGTTTGAAGTTCTTCCTCGTCAAACCTAGGGGCTCTCAACTTAACGCTGCATTAAAATCACTGGGGGGGGGGGGCTGCCGTGCGTGACCGCCCGCGTCCCCGCGCCAGCGGCCGGGGCCCTGGTGGCCGGACCAGGAGGTCCCGCTGACCCGCGCCGCCCAGCAGTTCGCGCGGCAGGGCGCCGCCTCCGGGATGGCCCCGGGTCGCTGTGGCCGTCGCCGGAACAGCTGCGCGAGCTGGAGGCGGAGGAGCGGGAATGGTACCCGAGCTTGGCGACCATGCAGGAGTCGCTGCGGATGCAGCCGCTGGCCGGGGAACGGGAGCGGCAGGCCGGGGAGCAGCTTGTCTCGGAGCGCTTGGCGCAGATGCCGCAGGTGATTGAGAACTGGCGGCCGCAGGAGCCGCAGCGCTGGGAGGAGGCTCAGGCGACCAGGAGAGGAAGGCCCGGCTGCAGGCCGAGGCCCAGGAGCGCCTGGGGTACCACGTGGACCCAAGGAGCGACCGCTTCCAGGAGCTGCTGCAGGACCTAGAGAAACAGGAGGCAAACGCCTCAAGGAGGAGAAGCAGAGGCAGAATTAGGAGGCCCGAGCTGCTGCCATGGCTGCTTCTGCGGCCCAGGACCCAGCAGCTTCCGGGGCACCTCGCCCCTGAGCTTTGTTCTTTCCCAATAAAGCCTGCTGCCCAACCACCAATTTAAAAAAAATCACTAGGGGAGGTTGAAAAATCTCAATGCCGATGCTATACTGTAGAGGAAATCAGGAAGAAGGTCTGAGAGTAGAATGCAGGTGCAATTTGCTTTAAAGCTCTCGGGGGTTCCAAGTTGCTTCCAAGGTTGAGAACCCCTGAACATGGCCTACTTGTCTCTGCCTCTAAGCCTTTTTCCTGCATTTCTTCCAAATCTGCTCGTGTTTCTCCTTTCTCCATGTTATTTTTCAAAGCCTGGTTTAAAATCCCTTGTAAAGTCTCCCCTGTAATTCACATGAGTTCCTCCACTCCTTGCCTTCCCTGATTCTTGAGGCAGTGCCACTATCAAATGATCTAAGGTAGCCTCAACATTGGAGCCAATTGCTCTATAGGGGGAGACCTTTCTACTTCAATAGGACTGTATAATAGAAGCAAAAAGTACATGGTAAACTTTTATATTCTGACAACTCCTGGGCAGTAATACAACAGGCACTAAATAAATAACACATTTTGAATATGGGGCTGATGCTCACAGGTCTAGTATCATTGAGCTGGTTTGGAAAGACTAGTTCATTATAGGATAAAATTTTATCCATTATAGGATTAAAAATTATGAAAACAGTACCCTTCCCTAGGGTTAATGCAGCTTTCAGTTTTATCTGGACAAGTATACAGTGGACTAGACTTTGGACCCACTGAACCGCTTGACTGGGTGTCCCTACCAGGGGGACAATCATTTGTCCCCCTATTGCAAACCAACCGAGGTTGGGAGAATGATCCAGACAAGTGATGCCTCTCCATAGACTTCAGCCTTTTTCTAAGCTAACCAGGTCATACAGGTTTGAATGAGATGAGAGTAGCAAAATCTTCACCTTCTTTTTCTCTTAGTTGTATTTGGGATGGGGAGGGATAGCAGGGATGGAACCAATCCCTGCTGAGTAACCAAGTCCTGGATTAAAATTTCCTTTGAATTCTACAGCTAACTCTGCTGTGATGGATCTCTCAGAGAGGGAGTAAGTCAAATTAGTATGTGTGGAGTCCATCCAGGACTTCAAAAGGTTCTCATTTCCATGACAGGTCATGGAGGAGCTGGTGGATGAGGGGTTGGTGAAAGCCCTTGGTGTCTCCAACTTCAACCACTTCCAGATTGAGCGGCTCCTGAACAAGCCTGGACTGAAATACAAACCAGTGACTAATCAGGTAAATTCGGTTAGCAAAGGGGTCATATCTTACAACTTCCTAAACATTTGGAAGCAAGTTCAATCTATGTAGTCAGTCTCAACTCACAAGTCAGTGATAAGGTTGCTTTGGAGAAGTGTGAGACATATCTCTGGGTCTAGTTTAGCATTCAATTAATGAGCAGTATTTGGCTTTTCTGGGTGGTCTTTTGTGTATAGAACTCTCTATGAAAGGCTCACAAAGCTCACAAACATTGCTAGTGATATAACTTGTTCACTCTTGCAGGTCGAGTGTCACCCATACCTCACCCAGGAAAAACTGATTCAGTACTGCCACTCTAAGGGCATCTCTGTCACTGCCTATAGTCCCATAGGCTGTCCGGATAGACCTTGGTGAGGCTTCTGAGTCATGGCTCTTTCTCTTGATAGTCTTAAAAATATTATTTTATAATTGGATAATATTGATATGAATTTCCAAGGCACAGGAAAGAAAATTGTGTTTGGGGGTATGTGTTTACCATAACCAAATGTGGTCACAGTGAGGAAAGAAATGTAAATATGCAGCATGCCTGACCCTCTGGGAATTCTACAGTTCAGCAGTCCAGTGCAGGATCAACCTTTGAAAATTGATGAGACTCCAGAGCCTGTAATGGGGCCATGGGAATGACAAAGCCTTCAGACTATCGTGCTTGTATTGCTGATGGAGAAGGCTGTGATGCTCAGCCCTGAGACTGTCATTGGAATGATGCCATCAACATATAGTGGCCATGATGATGATTCACACCAGCAACTTCCTTCTTATAGGGCCAAGCCAGAAGACCCTTCACTATTGGATGAACCCAAGATTAAGGAGATTGCTGCAAAGTACAAAAAATCCCCAGGCCAGGTACAATGTAGTTGTTGTTTTTATACTTTTATGTCAGCAATCCATTGTGTCATCTTGTGTTTCATTCTTAGTGTTATCTTAATTTAATTCCTTGAAAGGTAAAAAAATGGGAAAGGAAGTCCAATAAAATACTGCCCTTATATACCATTGGAGTCTAGGAAACACAGTGTGTATCAGTCATAGATAGCCTCTCTCCTTTGGCTCCCTGCCAACTCCTCAAACTGAGCCACAAGAGCGTGGCTACTTTGGGTTCAGATGCTAACTATACTATAACCCAGCCTTATGACCCCAAGTCACACTCCTCATTCCTATACAAGGGAAGTCACTGGTGCATGCTAGGAATAAAAGAGATAAGAGGAGGACTGGCAAGCATCTCTAACAGTTAAGTGCTATTGTAGCTGAAGCCATGTAGATACTGTAGTTTTTCTTTCACTAGAAGGAGGGTTCCTGGCAGATAAGTGGAAACATGCTGTCCCATTTCTACACAGGTTCTTATCCGGTTCCAAGTCCAGAGAAATGTGGTAGCGATCCCCAAGTCTGTGACACCATCACGCATAGTTGAGAACATTCAGGTAAGACCATTGTTGGTCATCTGTATTCCTCAGTGGAGTAGGGGATGCAGGAAGCTATTCTCACCTGGCTTCTTACCAATGAGTTCTTCCTTTTTCCCACACCTGTCAACTCTTAGTCAGGGAGCTGGCTTAAACAGAGCTAAGATGAATAACCCACAAGCCAATGACGGGCTGAGGGCAGTGAACAGAGAAGCCCTGTCAGAGATGAGCATGCCTGTAGCTTATAACACCAAGAAGTCCTTTGATTACCCTTGAACAGTTAGGTCTTAGGACACACACAAGTGTGGATTGTCCTGGCCAAGAGGCCTGCCTTCTAATACCCTAGAACCTATGGACTGGACTTGAAAAAGTATCTTTCTGGAAGAAGCTATGTCCCTTAGGAATAACAGACACTACTCACATTGACATTTCATGCCTTTAAGCCCAAGTCCCATTAAACCAAAATAGTACAGTCTTTGTGAAGGGCATAATTTAAAAAAAAACAATTTGCAACCAATGGAAGTAATGGGAGAAACTCCTGTGGCCCGTATGTGCTATACATGTGACCTTACTCCCAGCCAGAATGGGTGGAGAGCGCAGATCCCACTGAGAGTCGCCTTCCCAAGGACGCTTAGGAACTGTCACCTTTCCAGGTCTTTGACTTCAAATTGAGTGATGAAGAGATGGCCACCATCCTCAGCTTCAACAGAAACTGGAGGGCCTGTAGCTTGACTAAGTAAGTGACATGGGGTTAACTAGGTGGATCAGCAGAGTTTTCTCCAAGTAGTAGAGAACTGGCTGAGAGTTTTTGTTTGGTTGATTTTGTATTTGTCTGAGTAACACAAGCATGGAGTTGCCACTTAGGGAAGGAACTCAGAAGATTGGTTTGAGGCATGTTTGTGATATATGTTGGACACAGAAGAGAGATGTTCAGATAGCAGTGGAGACAATGTGTTGGAGGTCTCAAGAATAAATGTACCTAGCTTCTAATCCTGGTGCTACTACTTATTCATTAACTATGTGGCCTTCGGTACATTTCCTAACTTCACCAAGTTGGTTTCTATGCCCACAAAGTAGGGGTGATTATAGAAATTATAGCAGACATCCACTCACAGCAACAATCAAGCAGCGAACGGCAATACCATCCCACCTCACAATATCGTGAGAATGAATTGAGGTAACATTTGTAAGACAGTTAGCTTGGTACCTCTTGTGAGCCAGTATTAGGACTTCATTCCGGTAACCTGATCACTTCTTTCTTGCCTGCCCTCTTTTCTCATGTACCTCTCCCGCCATTCCGAGGGAAGGTCAAGCTGTGAGACACCTTCTTGTGTATTCTCAGTAACTCTTGGGGTAGGAGGAAGGAGGCTGGGTGAGCACAGAGATGACAAACTACACCTACCAGATTGCTAATCAGACTATAGTTGTTGCTTTTCTGGACCATTTTCTTCTTCATGCTTGTTCCTGCAGCATGTCTCATTTGGAGGAGTATCCCTTCAATGCCGAATACTGAAGCTGAATGCCCCAGTGAGATCATGTAGTGGACTCCCTCTCTTCACTGAAGTGGAACTGCTCCCCTGAGCCCTGTTTTAGACAAGCTTATCTGAAATCATACTGTGCATGCCCTTGTTTTAGGTCAGATTGTAGGCATTGCTGTATTTTGAGCCATATATTCAACAACGAGGTAATTATCAGAGGAAGTATGACTTAGATAAACAAATGACAATTTTTTTCTTACTGTGTCTGACCCAAATATTTGTTAAATGCCAGGAACTCTGATAACACTGAGGATACAAGGATAAAAATAATAAAAAGTGTAATAGTAACCAACGTATGTTGAGAGTTTGATTTGTATCAACACAATTTGAACTGCACTTTGAGTGGGTGAACTCACAGAATGTAACTCTTCTTCTTCACATTTTAAAGAAGAGGAATTTGAGCATGGGGAGGCAAAAGAATGTGCTCATGTCCAGCCAAGTGGTAAGTGCCTGAACCAAATTTCAAAGGGAGGTAGGCTCTAGAAGTTCTAAAGGCAAATTTGTGTTCTGTTCCTTCCAAGTCTTTTCCTGACCCCTTCCTTCTTGCATAGCTCTACTATTCCCCTGCCTTGTTTCTGTTACTAGACTGGGATATAGGAGAGTTTGGGGTTTTTTTTTTTTTTTTGATAGAGAAAGAGGAAAAAATAAAACCACCATAAATCATTACCCATAATTTCCATAATTCTTGAATGTGTTGGTGAAAAGAATTTCAAAATGCTACATAAACTCTAAGGTTGGCAAATATTTTATTAGGTAAGTATGACAAAGCAGTGAAGGGCAGAAAATAGGAAAGTGTGCTCCAAGAGCTTGGAGTGTAGGCATAGAGATGCAATTTGTGCATCAGGACTATTTATATCTGTTTTTCTGTATTTTTTGGAAGGACCAGGGTTTAGATTCAGCCTTGCACATGCTAGGCGGGCTCTACCACTTGAAACATAGGCCAGCACTTTTTACTTTCATTTTTTGGGGGGATAGGATCTCTAATGTATGCCTGGCCTAGTCTGGACCATGCTCCTCCTATTCATGCTTCCCACATAGCTGGGATGATGGGTAAACATCACTATGGGTAGCTTTTTATTGGTTGAGATGGGGTCTTGTGAACTTTCCCTGTAGTGGCCATGAACCACAATCCTCCCCATCTCCTCCTCCCAAGAAGCTAAGGTTATAGGTGTGATTTAAAATGCCCAGTTAATATACATCAGACAAAGGACTGATAACCAAAATATACAGGGAACTTAAAAAACTAAATTCTCCCAAAACTAATGAACCAATAAAGAAATGGGCATGTGAACTAAACAGAACTTTCTCAAAAGAAGAAATTCAAATGGCCAGAAAACACATGAAAAAATGCTCACCATCTCTAGCAATAAAGGAAATGCAAATTAAAACCACACTAAGATTCCACCTCACCCCTGTTAGAATAGCCATCATCAGCAACACCACCAACAACAGGTGTTGGCGAGGATGCGGGGAAAAAGGAACCCTCTTACACTGTTGGTGGGAATGTAGACTAGTACAACCACTCTGGAAAAAAATTTGGAGGCTACTTAAAAAGCTGGACATCGATCTACCATTTGATCCAGCAATACCACTCTTGGGGATATACCCAAAAGACTGTTACTCCAGAGGCACCTGCACATCCATGTTTATTGCGGCACTAATCACAATAGCCAAGTTATGGAAACAGCCAAGATGCCCCACCACTGACGAATGGATTAAGAAAATGTGGTATCTATACACAATGGAATTTTATGCAGCCATGAAGAAGAACGAAATGTTATCATTCGCTGGTAAATGGATGGAATTGGAGAACATCATTCTGAGTGAGGTTAGCCTGGCTCAAAAAACAAAAATCGTATGTTCTCCCTCATATGTGGACATTAGATCAAGGGCAAACACAACAAGGGGATTGGACTATGAGCACATGATAAAAGCGAGAGCACACAAGGGAGGGGTGAGGATAGGTAAGACACCTAAAAAACTAGCTAGCATTTGTTGCCCTTAATGCAGAGAAACTAAAGCAGATACCTTAAAGCAACTGAGGCCAATAGGAAAAGGGGACCAGGTACTAGAGAAAAGGTTAGATCAAAAAGAATTAACCTAGAAGGTAACACCCACGCACAGGAAATCAATGTGAGTCAATGCCCTGTATAGCTATCCTTATCTCAACCAGCAAAACCCCTTGTTCCTTCCTATTATTGCTTATACTCTCTCTACAACAAAATTAGAGATAAGGGCAAAATAGTTTCTGCTGGGTATTGAGGGGGGGAGCGGGAGGGGGTGGAGTGGGTGGTAAGGGAGGGGGTGGGGGCAGGGGGGAGAAATAAACCAAGCCTTGTATGCACATATGAATAATAAAAGAAAAATGAAAAAAAAAATAAAATAAAATGCCCAGTTAAGAAAATATTTTCGATTAATTCTGTGACTTGCACTTGCCAGACAAGTGCTCCACTGCTTGAGCCATACTCCCTAATCTTCCATCATGATTTTGGGAATTTTTGGAATTTTGCTTAAAACTTTCCCTAGATAAATGGTTCTTTGTGTTAGGCACCTGGTAACTTTCAAGCATTCTGCCGATTGCAATAGTTGATGATATCACACAAGCCCAGAGACATGCGGTCTGGATGCTCCTGTCAATCAAAGCGTCTTATGATATGAGTGCCTGTTTTTTGCAACTTTTATGAACATTATTATGATCAAAAGAATTGTTCAACTAGGCATTCTTAGATCCTAGATGCATTACTTGTATGGATCAAGGTCAGAGAAATTGTAGAAAGGTTGTTTCTCTACTAATATTGTAACCAATGAGGAGGGATATGCCTAGGAGAAATGCAAGTGTGTGCTTTCTTAAAAGAGTATTTAATATAACAAATAATTTTGTTGTCCTAGCAATTTTGCAGTCCTAGCTCTAGATTTTGACTTGCTTTGGTCACATGTCACCTGTCCCAATTCTAACCTGCCTCACTCCTGCCTTGCTTTGAGAGTCAATGCCAGAGGTGGCAGAGGCTGTGAAATCCACAAAGATACCGGTGCTCATTAAGAAATAGATGGCATCCCTGGGAATGGGGTGGGAAATAAGGGTGAGTCTGAACAAGAAAGTTACCATTAATCTGGCAATTTCTTCTTTTTTTTTCTGTTGTATTTCCTGTTATGAAATATTGCAATTATCTAGAAATATACAGAAACTAAAAGAATGAGCATCTGGCCTTATAGCCACTCAAATTTAACAAATGCTAACATTTTGCCATAATTGCTGCAAACACTTTTTCTAAAATATTAGTGAAGAGCCAAGTGGTTACCAGTATAGCTGAGGACCACTTTGTACCTCCCCCATCTCTATGCTCCTGACTCTATCCCAGAGTCAAACTCCATCCTCAGTTACCGAATCACCTCATCCTCTGCTTGTCATGGTCTATTGGCTTTCAGACCAATTCTCCACCTGTGCTCTCCTCCCTTCTGCATGATGGTGGAGGAATCAGATGGCCTCTTCTGAGTTTGCTCAGTGCCGGAGTGTTATGTTAGGAGGTTGGAGGGCTGGAGAAAGGGAAAGCCAGATATTTTGTTTCTCTTTCTTTCAACTCTTTTCTCTCTCTCTCCCTTGAGTGATGTCTCCAAAAGAAGTTGCATTCCATCTGTGTTCCCAGCTCTTACCTGGCAGTCTCCACGTTGATCTGTCTCCTGCCAGAGGACACCAGAAAACAGTTTCTGTGATTAGGAAACACCACTTCCTCCCCTGTCCTCCATCTGTAGGGACTGTAGTCTCTTCCTGCTACTGCTACCTTCTTGGTTGCCTCACTCCTCCATTTGTTATCCCAGCTCTTTCGCAAGTGTGTAACCAAGTGTTTCAGTTAAATATCCAATGTTCAAAAATCATAGCATGGTTTCTGTTCTTATGAGTGGACCCTTGACTCATACACATTCTATCCACATCTTTACTATTTCACAGCCACAAATTATCAATGGGATTGTTTGGATGTATATAAAATGTATAAAAATTATATAAAGGAAGCAATTTCAAGCAAGAGCTCAATGATATTTCTTTAGTAAGCATTTTGTGATTGTTTCTCCCTGCTGTGACTGTATGAGTCTTTTGATAAAAAGCTTCTTAGGATTAAAAGTTTGCATTTCCATTGATTAACTATATAGCTTTGTGTGTTTGTTTCACTTGAATTAAACCAAATAGAGTAAATAAAAAAGCTGACATGGTGAAATGGAATGTTTAAAAAAAAAAAGCTGCTTGTTTGTTATTTTCAGCATTTACAATTGGATAATGGGAACATTGCAAGCCTCAGGGCTCTCCACATCACAATTCAAACATGCAGTTAGTTAATTCATCCTAAAATCTGATCACTATTTGTAGATAGTGAAGAGTAGCCCTAGTAGTCAAAAACTAAAACCAAAGCCACCTTGATGGGAGAAGAATCTAAGATACATGTTATAAGTTGTATGACACCAACTCTTCTCTATGATTAAGTAGGGAACTTGCTCTATGAAAAAGGAGGAAGGGTCACAATGGGGGAAAGGAGATGATGAAATTAGGTGTGGAAAAGGAAGGAAGCTAGACATGGGAAGTAAGGAGGCAGGGAGAGTGTTCTGTCCCAAGCCTTCTCTCTACCGGTTGTCTGGGACTAGGCTGGAGAAATGGGTATTATGTAAATGAAGATCCTACAAGTCCCAGGTATTGAAGGGCCATATTTATCTCACTGGTATTTAGGTGTTGGTTAGATGATGCCAAAGTACACCTGGGACCCAAAGGGATTTGGATCTCTGCCAGACTCCATGAGATCCAACTGTCCAGGCCTGTTTCAGTCATCTGAATAGCCTTGTAGTGATTCTGCATTTTGAATCACTAACAGCCTGGACCTTGCTTACTGCATTATCATGGGAATTCACTGGACAGTATAGAGTTTAAAAGGCATATAGATTAGAGAGAGGCTCCTTTAAAATGATTTTCAGGAAAATCAGAAGGATTTCA